ACAGGGGGAGGACAGGGGGAGAGGACAGGGGGAGAGGAGAAGAGAGGAGAGGATGGGAGGGGAAAGGGAGGGGAGGGGAGGAAAGAGAAGGGGGAGGACAGGGGAAGAGGGGGAAGCAGAGGAGAGTAGAGGAGAGCAGAGTTTTGAAAAGGAGGTTTATTGGGAGCAGACTCCAGAATGCCTGATTAATATTTTCAAAGACTGGGAGTTTTGACAGTCTATAAACTGTTAAAACATATGTATCAAAGGAGATATTTAGTAATCTGGGAGGTATGCCAGAAGAAATGATCCAAACGATATACAACATAGGGAGACAAATGGATGGAAAATGCAGACAAGGCTAAGAGACATGCAAGAAAAGTGAAAGCAACACAAACACACAAATATGTCGTTTTCACATTCATTGGGGAAACCAGTTTTAGGAAAAAAAAAAATTAAATTCATTGCTGGTTTTCACTGAAGGATTACTATGGGATATCCTTCAGGCAGGAGGAAAGCAACCACAGTTACAAGCCAGAACAGGTAAGACCAATGGAATATGGACTCACACAACAATAATAATATATGTGGGTTTAAAATATGGAAAAAGTTGAACACCGTGGTGATGATGGGATAATTTGGAGAAGGAAGGTGATAAAAAGAGTTAACATGGTCAAAGGTTCCAGGAAATTATAAAGTACTAATTAATTACCACTAATATAGAGAAACTTTAATAAATAAGATGTACATTTTATGATGCCTAATGTAGCCTCTAAAAGAATAGCAAAAGTTGCTTAGCTAACAAATAGGTCTTTTAAATAATAAAATGAACCTTAATTCAAAAGGCAGCAAAGCAGATTGGGGGAAAATAGAAAGAAAAGACCCCAGCAGCTGTAAATCCACACCTGTCAGAGATAAAAGCCCCAAGAACATAGGCTGAGGAATATGGCTGGTTCCTGAAGTGTTTGTAGAGTGAACTGAAGTAATGTGAGCTGGGTTGGCTTAAAGGGCCCAGGTGAGAAGGCAAACTAAGAATTAGAAATTCACTCAGCCCAGTTAAGAGCCACCAGCTTATGACCCAAGAATGTCAACACCTTTTTTCATGATTTACAAAGCTTTCACCTGATACATGCCGACCATCTGTCACAACTTCGTGATTCAGAACAAAAGGAACTGTAATCCCCATTTCACATATGAACAAATGGAGACTTTGAAAAATTAAGTAACAACCTTAAAACCAAAGAGTTAGGGGCTGGAGAGATGGCTCAGCAGTTAAGAGTACTGATTGCTCTCGCAGAGGACCTGGGTTCAATTCCCAGCACCGACATGGCAGCTATGAACCGTCCTTAACTCCAGTTCCAGGGGAATCCAAAGCCCTCTTCTGACCTCTGCAGCATTTCACGACACAAAAATGTTTTTTAATATATTTTTTAAAAACCATATAGTTAGTGGCCCGCTAGAAACTAAACTTGCCTTACAATTCCCCATCGCTGACTCTCTTCAGCCACGTGACCTCTTAAGCTAAAGTTGCAAAGAATTTACAAACTTCTGGTCTTGCCAAATTTTGCAGTGTTACTTTCTCATCCTGTGATAGAGTTGGGCTTCAACCCAGCACCGCCAATGAGCTGTGAAAATTAAATGAGCTACTATACAAAAGCCCTAGCACCCAGAAGACACCCTGTAAGATGCAGCAAACTCACAGTAGATAAACTCTCTCGGAGCAGTAGCTTAAGGGACAGACAGGAACAAACAACTATGGATAGTAAAATGGGTAGAATACAGGTCCATCCTTCCAGGAGTTCCCAGCCTGGACACAAGGAACAATGGCAGAGGTCACACCTGTGTCTTTCTCTGGGTAGAAAGGGGATCTTCTGGGGCTGGAGAGATGGTTCAGCGTTTTCAGAGGACTGGCTGCTCTTGCAGAGGACCTGGATTCGATTCCCAGCACCAACATGGCAGCTAACAACTGTCTGTAACTCCAGTTCCAGGGGATCCAATGTTCTCTTCTGACCTCCTTGGGCATTGCACAGCATGGGTGCACTTACACATATGCAATACACTCATATACAGAAAATACTAATAATAAAGTATTTAAAAAGGGGGATCTCCCAAGTGCCAGGGTGGCAGGGATGGGGTGCCCGGAACTGAGACACGCAGTTTAAACCCTTACCTTTCTAGCCAATATGACCACCCCTGCAACCGCTGAACAGATGACTCCCAGCACTGCAGCCATGGCTCCGACAAATGCAATCTGGAACTGTTTTGCTACACCAGGAACAAAACAGTGGTGAGTGGCAGAGGCCAGAAGCAAAGCTTCCCAGGGAAACCTTAGTTTCAGGGCACAGAGGTGGGACTGGCTGCACTCATTCTCTATTGGAGTCTTGAAGCTTAATTAACTTTTTGTCGGCAGAGCCTCTGCCTGGCTTCCAAAGGTATTGATGACTGATCTCCAGAAAAGCAGCATACTTTTGTGTACACCTTGGATCAGTTTCTACAATCCTTTCCTCTATCCAACAAAATCTTTTTCAGTAGTCATGAAACAAAGAATGCCATCTAAAAGAAAACTCGGGAACTGAATATTTTCTTTTATCGTACATCATATATATTCAAAATAGTAAACAGTTTAATTCAAAATTGAAATAAATTAATATTGAATTATGAAAAGAAAAAGCATATAAACTTTTCCTTAGCCCTCTGACATTTGCTCCAGCCAGGCTGTAAAACTCTGGAAGGGGTGAGCCCCTAGAACCTTATCCTTTGCTGTTTTCCCAGCCCGTGGTACATATTAAAAGGAAAAAGAAACAGAAGCCGGACTGAGTTTTGAAGACAGGATACTTGATTTGAGAATATGAGAGAAAAAGACAGTCGCCCCAGTTTGTCCTGTGTTAAGGTGAGAGAGTTTCTAGGACATTCCCTTCCTTCCCTGTGCTTCAGGAGCTCAGACAGGAATCCAGAGTTCTGAGATTTGAAATGAGAGAAGGATAGTGGAGGCCTGGCCCCACTTCCCTGAACTATAGGTTTCAGTTGTGGGAAAGGTAGCTGAGGCATCTGATCCCTCAGAACAAGGGCCATGCCTGGCAAGTTCAAGGTCCCTCTAGCATGCTCCTCCTGCTCTGAGGACTTAGTCACTGTAGGCCAGGCCAGCCACTGGTTGGCCACAGCCTTGGTTTGCTCAGGAGGACAGGGTTTTTAAAAGATCATAGACAGCCCGTTGCAGGGCATCAGAGGCCCTGGAAGGTTCACTTTGGAACAAGTAGAAATCAAAGGGTAGAGCCACTTTGGGATCCCAGGTAAGGACTGGGTTTTCCTACAGCTAAAGGGCAGAATAAGAGGGGATTAGAGCCACGATCAAATATAAGGAAAGATTACAATAATGAATGTGGTTAGATGAAAGGGTAAGTTAAAGAGACAGTTAAGAGCAGAGGAGAACTTGGGATATTAAAGTTGCTAACTTCATTAGTAATTTTGGTTTGAAATGAAACCACTAATTCCTCCATTCACCATCACAGTTTCAGAACAAAGACTTCACGGTCTTTGAAACTGAAAGAACCTCAAGGCAGATTGCACAAGACAACATACAGGTGGACCAGGGATAGACGCCATATTAGAGATACTTAAGGTTTATGCCTATTAACCTTGATTTAGAGTTAAGATCATTGTTAGCATTAGGTTAGACAATACCTCATTATTATTGTTATTTGTGGTACTGGGGATTGAACCCAGGGCCTGTGCATGCTAGGTAAACACTCTACCACTGAGCTATATCTCCAGCCCTGCTTGATTATATAATAGTTCAAATAATGCAATTACTAGGTCTTGGATTAAGGTTTGAGATTAGCATCAATAAGAAATCGGGGATGGAGTTAATACAAGTAATTAAAGGAGGCTTTGCCTTCCAGGTAAACAAGAGGGGAATTTGCAACGAGCCAGTGGGATTCCCTAGAGTCTGCAATGGCATAAAAGATGAAAACATCCAGGGTCTAGGGCAGAGGCCAAACAGGGGTGCAACAGGTGAGACCATCTTCTGAATTCTTTCCCAGAGGGATTATGAGACTCAGGGAAGAAATTCATGCCTTTGTGTCCCTATTTTCACATAAAAGCACTTGTACTACCATGGCCAGTGAGGGCTGTGCATGCCTGGAGCATCAGTCCCTGGATGCTCTGACCCAGATATGAGCAAATGCACAAGGCTCCTCTCTGATTTCTGGTCCAGAGGCCTCAATCCACCGGTCCTGCAGTTTGGTGATAGGCTCTGGGGTTATAGAACATTGAGTCACATGATAAAGGTCAATACTGCTATGTGGTTAGGTTTGCTGGGGTTGGCCTATTGTTCAAGCCTCCTCTTAAGTTTATGTTAAGCTTATTATTCATCTAGCACTGTTCAAAACTCATGAAACCTAAATTCTAACACAGAGTGGCAGGAAGTTCTAAGTGTGGAGTTCCATGAAGTCTAATAATGCTTTTCCTCAGGAGAATTGGCTTAAGTATCCAGGAGGATAATAATTATGAGGGTGTTTTGGAAGCTTTGAAGCATCACAGAAAGATCAATAATTATTGTGCATTTACCCTCAGCATATGCTGTGCCTTGTTTTTGTAATTTTTTTATTTTAATGTATATGAGTATTTTGCTGACATGTAAGTAAGTGCACCACATGCATAAGATGCCTGCAGAGTCCAGAAGAGGGAGTCAAATCCCCCGGAACTGGAGTTATGGATGGTTGTTAGCCACCATGTGGGTGTTGGGATTTAAGCCCAGGTCCTTGGCAAGAGCAGCCAGTGCTCTTAACCACTGAACCATCTCTCTAGCTTCTGTGCTTTGTTTTTAACCCTCTCTGATCTTTATCATCTAATTCTAGTTTGTATTACTGATACTAAATCACTGAGCACCCTACATGTGTGGCCTCATCAGTGGGTCTCATCAGCATAGATAAGATGAACTTCCTATGCAAAATCAGTGGTTGCATATGAGAATCAGCTGGATGCTTCTGGAGCATACCACACTGTACTTCTGCCCCTGGACGCTCTGATTGCATCAATGTGAGTGTGGGCCTATAATCACTATTCCTTGCAAGCTCCTCCAGTGGATCGCCTGTATTCCAGGACTGAGAAGCTCTCTGCCTCACAGAGTGTCTCAAATGATATTTTCTCTGCGAAAGAAAGAGGTTCGTCACCACCACCCTGCTGCAGAGAGCTTACCTGAGCGTCCTTGGACATGCAGGAATATTTTCCCATTGTAAATTCCATCAGGATAAGTGTGATAGATGCAGATGTACTCCCCTGTGTCATTCAGTGCCAACGACTGGAAGGTGAGGCCTAGGCTAGGGCCAGGGACCACTCGGTCACTGAAGACTGAGGAGACATGCCACCCTAGGTCTGCATTATAAATGGCCAGAGGCTGGTCCCGCTGCTCCCAGTTGACTTGGGTCACCTCAGCCGTGGTGGAGGAGAAGTTGCATTGTAAGATGACAGAGCCACCTTCCACTGCAGAAACATTCCCCTTTGTTACTACTGTGCCTGCTGTAGCTCCTATGGGGGAAGGAAAAGCACACATGAACCCCTGGCCAGAAGCTGCCCTTCATTCAGCCTTCCTGTAGACACACCAGGGTGCTTAGAGGCCAGACTGGCTTCAGGATCAGAAGTTGCCAGTCTCCAATCCACCCTGCCACTCCCCCACAGAGACTATCCAGCTTCCTGTTCCCCTCAGATCAGGAGACTAGTTCCAGTCCCAACCCATGGCTCCTTTCCAGTCTTCTTGCCCTGTACCTCTAGTCCAGGCCAGCCCATCACCCCTGCTTTTGGAGCTTGCTTCTGCCTCCCTCTGTCCCATACTACTACAGGCTTGTCAAAGCTATGCTTCCTTCCCCACCTTGAGGACCCCACTAATAGTGACCTGCCTCACACTCACTGCCTGAGTTTGTAATAATGCCTTATTAAATTTAGCCTGGCTTATTACTATGCCACTTACACTTTGCCAGCTCAGGATATTCTGCTGTGCAGCTTCCTGGCTGGCTAGGTGATTATTTTCATAAGCTTATTTTATTTCCCCACTTAGAATATCAGCCCTATGCCAACACCACATCTTCTGCTTCTTTGTAATTTCCAGCAGCCTAGTCTTGTGCCTGGTCCTGCACTTTGAAATAACACTGGGCTATTTGGTTGATTCCATTTGGAATTTGGGGAAAACCTTCAGGATAAGAAAAAATATCAGGGAAAAGGAGACTCTGCTTCTCAGTCAGGAGTGATAGTACATGCTTATAATCCCAGAACATGGGAGGCTGAGACAGCAGGCTCACAGTGAGTTCCAGGCCAGCCTTGGAAACATACTGAGACCCTGTGTTTGATAAAGGAAAAAAGAGTAAGAGAGAGAGACGGGGAGGGAGAGGAGGGTCCTATAGGGGGAGGGAATGGGAGGAAAAGGAGTGTGAGAAGAGAGGAGAGGAGAGCCTCTTCCAGACTAACCTGTCTTCATCACTGCTCATCCCTTCCTCCAGCACCCTCCTTGGCCCCTGTCCCCCTCAGAACATTAAGAAAGCAGTCTTGAAACGCATTTGTACCAGTCTTTAAATATTTTTGTTCCCTTCCCTCAGAAATATTTATCTAAGGTTTTTTGTTGTTGTTTTGTTTTTGGTCTTTTTGAGACAGGGTCTCCCTGTAGCCCCAGCTGTCCTGGAACTCACTATGTAGACCAGGCTGGCCTTGAACT